TGGCGGCGGAGGGTTGCGCGGTGGGCCCGGGCCGGGGCGCTGGCGCGGTTTCCGGAGCGCCCGCTGCGCGTTCCTTCCCGCGGAGGGCGGGGGGCGCCGTCACTGACATGTGTGCTTTCCAGGGGCGACAGAGGCCGCGGCCGCGGGGGGCGCTTCGGCTCCCGAGGAGGCCCGGGAGGAGGGTGAGTGCGGGCTCGGGGGGCGCGCGGGCGCCTGGGCGAGGCCGGGCGTGTGTCCCCGCTGCGGTGCGAGGGCGTCGGGCCGACCCTGCCGGCTGGCAGCGTCCCCGAGTGCCCCGCTCTGCACAGACAGACCGACGGACATACCGACCGACAGACAGACAGCCACTAGGGGGCTCTCGCCTGATGGCTGCCGGGTGAATGATCTGCACTGTATTTCTTGCAGGTTCCGGCCCTTCGTGCCACACATCCCATTCGACTTCTACCTGGTGAGTACCTGGAGCTTCACAGGAGCTTCGTGGCCACTGCTCACACAGCGATGTGGAAATGGAGGCCCGGCTGTCCTTGTGAATTAAGTTGCTTGGCTTGGGAGAGTTGGGATTTACAAAAAAATCTTATTTAATTATTTTTGGGGCTTGGGATCGAAGGAAGGGCTCCAAGCATGTATTGTACGTATTAATACAATTCAGTACACTTCAATACATGTGTCCAACCTGCACTGATTGAATCTAGTCTCCCTTTATCCACGCTTTCCCCCCTATAGTCTACTGGAGGTCGCTTTACATACAAAAACAATGTAGTAGAGCAGCTAATTTCTTGGCTACATGACTGTAATCTTTGTTCTGTAAATTATATCTGGTTTTTCTTTTAATATCAAAGTAGTGGGAGTTAAATTATGACTAATACCTCGTATCTTTATTTGAACATTTTAAGAAACCAAGCGTTGTAGAATTGTTTTTCTTGTAACAGAAAAAAAACTCCTTTGTAAATTAATTTTTTTTTTTTTTTTAGTCTTTTTGAGACAGGATCTTGCTATGCAGTTCAGGCTGGCCTTGAGCTCACTTTGTAGCTCAGGCTGGACTTGAACTAGCAACGATCTTTCTGTCTCAGCCTCCTAGGTGCTGGGATGACAGGCATGCGCCACCATGCCCGGCTTATTTTGGTCTTTTGAGACAGGGTCTCACTGTAGTTCAGGCTGGCCTTGTACTCCGTATGGAGCCCAGGCTGGCCTCCATCTCGCAGTGACCCTCCTGGCTCAACCTCTGGAGTGGAAGCATGCACCACCATGCCCTGCTCCTGTAAATTACTTTTTGATAAATGGTATATAGTTGTTTATTTCTGCTTTAGTGTGAAATGGCCTTTCCCCGGGTCAAGCCAGCACCTGATGAAACTTCTTTCAGTGAAGCTTTGCTGAAAAGGAATCAGGATCTAGCTCCTAATTCTGCTGAACAGGTATTTTTTTTCCCTTCATGAGATACCACTAAGGAGGTTAGAAAAGAAAGTAACTTCATTTTCCTTCAGTGTTGGGGATTAAACACAGGGCATTTGTATTGAGCTACATCCCCTGCCCTTTTGTTTTTTCCAGACAGCGTCTCACTAAGATGCTCAGGCTGTGCTCAAACTTGTGATCCTCCTGCTTCATCCTTCCTTTTAATGAGGCTAGGAATACTGTTTGGGCTGAGAGTGTAGCTCAGTTATAGAGCACTTGCTTAGCATGGGTATGGCTCTGGGTTTGATCCTCAGTAAGTTTTGTTTTTTTTGTGTGTATGTGTTTTGAGACAGAGTCCTGCTATATAGTCCAGGCTAGCCTCAACTCTGGATATCTTCATGCCAGAGCCTCCCAAAGGCTGGGATTACACGCATGTGCCACTACATCCAGCTTTTAATCGTCAATGTTTTGATAGTCTAAACTCCACAGAGAATTTAATTGTTCTCTTCATTTCTTATTGTAGCTGGAGATGGGTGAATATATGAACAAATTACAGATGCATTCAGTACTGGGAAATCTGTGGGATCAAATAGTGCTCTTCTGATACATTCAAGGCTAGGAGAGTTGAAATGTTTTCAAAGCCCTATACCAATACTGAGTTTGCTTATAGAAGGCATTAGGGAAAAATAATCAAATTCTGAGAAGATGCTTGTAATTCTTGAGCTTAGGATATTTTTGTTTCACAATGTTTTTCAGGCTTCTATCCTTTCTCTGGTGACAAAAATAAATAATGTGATTGACAATTTGATTGTGGCTCCAGGGACATTTGAAGTGGTGAGTTTTTGATAATTTAGTTCTAAGAAAGGACAGCCTTGGTAGTGTGGGAGTTCGTTTAGGACTTTTCTCAATTTTTCAGATGCCTCTTACCCAAATCCAAACCTAAAATGGAAAAGTTCAGTGAAATTAAACTCTGGAATTCCTTTGTAATACTGATCTTGGGAGCAAGATTTGTATCACTGTCAGCTAGGCTATGATGTGTTGGGCTTTTATATAACTGTTTTTGGGATTTTACCACTGCTACTTACAAATATGGGTCATAATAAGCTGTATTGTAACAGTTCTGAGAGGAAGCAGGGATACTTTTTTTCTTCTAAAAAATTTTGCTTTTGAAATCCCTCTGTACTAGCAAATTGAAGAAGTCCGACAGGTAGGATCATATAAAAAGGGAACGATGACTACAGGACACAATGTGGCTGATCTAGTGGTCATACTAAAGATTCTGCCAACACGTGAGTGTACCTTTTTTTTTCTTTTCTAGTGTGGGGATCTAATCCAGGCCTTAGGCATGCTTGGCAAGTGCTGAGCTACATTGCCAGGCCATGTCTCTGACGGGGGAAATAGACTATAGCAGTTGGGTTTTTGTGTGTGAAAAATGATGTTTGGGAGACAAATAGGAATTACTGGGGAGGGGGCTAGTACTGGGGATTGAACCCTGGGCCTTCACACTGAGCTACATTTCCAGCCCCCAGCCACCCGCCCCAGCCCCTTGTCAGTTTATTTTGAGATAGGGTCTTGCTAAGTGCCCAGGCTGAGCTTGGACTTACAGTTCTCCTACCTCAGCTTCCAAGAGAACTGGATTGCGGGTGTGTGCCACCATGCTGTTTGGAAATTTTTTAAATGTGTATTTGGCTGATAAGGGACAAACTCTGTAGTGTGTATCTGAAAAAATGTATGGCCAGTGCTGTGGGGCTATATTTCTCAAATGGAGGCTGTTTTGCTCCCAGGGGACATTTGATAGTGTCAGGAGACATTTTTGCTTGTCAGAGCTGGGGAGTACTGTTGGTATCAAAAGGGGATAAGACTTGCTGGGTGCAGTGGCACATGCCTGTAATCATAGCTACTCAAGAGGCAGGAGGATCACAAGTTGGAGGTCAGCCTGGGTAAACTAGTGAGACCCTGTCTCAAAATATACAAAAAAGGATGTAGGTGTAGCTCAGTGCTCCTGAATTCAGTCCATAGTACTACAGAAAGGGGTGGGGATAAAGGGCAGGGATGTTACTAAACATCATACAGAGCCCAGGGCTGAGTGCAGTGAAGAATTAACCAGCCCAAAATGTTAAATGCTACTAACCCACAAAGCTCTGCTATGGTTTGAACATGAGGGAGAGGTGAGAGTGCTAACTAATGTAGAGGTACAGAGAAAGTCTGCATAAACTGATTATAGCATTGTTATCTCCCTTTCTGTCAATGTAGTGGAAGCCGTTGCTGCCCTGGGGAACAAGGTCGTGGAAAGCCTAAGAGCACAGGATCCTTCTGAAGGTTTGAGTTTGTTGCTGCATATGTAATTGGTTGCAGTAGGAGCAAGGTCCTGTAGTTGTGAACATACTTTCTTTTTTTGAACATACTTTCAATAAGGTCAGGTCAAGCTCCATGACAGTCAGTGTACTTTTATGTTGTGAACCTCAGTATTCAAAATCCTTTTGATCTTCTTTCTAAAAGTCTATGCTAAGCCGGGCATGGTGGCGCATGCCTGTAATCCCAGTATTTGGGAGGCTGAGGCAGGAGGATTGTTGCAAGTTCAAGACCAGCCTGGGCTACAAAGTGAGCTCCAGGCCAGCCTGAACTGCATAACGAGACCCTGTCTCAAAAAAACCCAAAAAAAAAAAAAAAAGTCTACGCTAGCTGTGCATCATGCTGCACGCCTGTAATCCCAGCACTCGGGAGGCTGAGGCGGGAGGATTGTTGTGAGTTTGAAAGCAACCTGGGCTACAAAGTGAGCTGAAGGTCAGCCTTAACTGCATAGTGAAACCTTGTCTCAAATAGACCAAAACAAAGAGAAAATAAAAGTCTACACTAAATTCTCTAAATTTTCGTTTTGAACTCTTGTTTTAAAAACCCAGGTATTCCCCTGACCGTTATCCATTTAAACATCAGTTTTCTAATGAACATGTGAATTACAGCTTTTGATTATTTTGTTCTTACAGTTTTGACCATGCTGACTAATGAAACTGGTTTTGAAATCAGTTCTTCTGATGCTACAGTGAAAATTCTCATCACAACCGTGCCACCCAATCTTCGAAAACTGGACCCAGAACTCCACTGTTAGTCTTTTTTTTTCCCATTTCTGAGAAATATGGGGGAATTCCAAAACATGGTATTATTGTTGTTGAGTTCAGTTAGCTTTTTGCTGTTTTATTTCTGAAATTGAATTGGTCTGAAGTTTGCTTTCTCCCTCTTTAACTTTACTAACTTCCTAGTAAAATATTCAAAGCCAGGATGACTAAGAAAACAGTTGGGAGACTGGAAAAGGACTATGGAAATATTTACAGAAGGGGGATAGGTTTTTGGAAAAAAAATCACGGGTCTGGCATGCTCCTCGATTTGGTTTGGAGGAGGAATACTAATTTTTGGACAAGTCATTTGCTGATCTCAGGAACACCAGGGTAGTTAAAAGAACTGCTGAATTAGCCCGTCCTCCTTCCAGGTTTTTATACCATGGCAAAGGGACTGAATTGCCTATTTATTAATAATAGAAACATTTAATTTTGGCCTGTCATACTTGTCTTTAGTGGATATCAAGGTGTTGCAGAGTGCCTTAGCAGCCATTCGACATGCCCGCTGGTTTGAGGAAAATGCTTCTCAGTCCACGTGAGTCTCCCTGATCATTTGTATTACAATAACCTTTCTTAGCTGTATTGAAGAGCAAGATGCCCTCATACTTCCGACAGCTGTTTTTAAAATATTTTTATTAATACATGTTTGTAGTGTACAGTATGCTTATCTGTACTTAACACTTACATGTAGTTAACATGTCTTAATGTACTTAACACGTCTTAATTTTATGTCCCCTTTCCATTTTTAAAAAAGTACGTATTTTATTTTTATTTATTTGTGTTTTTTTGAGATGAGTCTCTATGTAGTTTAGGCTGGTCTTAAACTCATTATGTAGCCCAGGCTGGCCTTAACCTTGTGGCAGTCCTACTTCACCCTCATGAGTGCTGGATTTAGAGATGTATGCCTCCATGCCTTGTTGATCTTACTACTTTTAATTCTTGGGTTTTTCTTACATTCAGAGTTAAAGTTCTCATCAGACTGCTGAAGGACTTGAGGATTCGTTTTCCTGGTTTTGAGCCCCTCACACCCTGGATCCTTGACCTACTTGTAAGTAAAGGGCAGTGCTGTTCCAGGGCATCTCTGTTTAATAGCAGTTCATGTGATATCTGGTGAGGCTTAAAAAGAAATTTGATGGACAAGTAATCCAATAAGGAAAGATTCAGGACTTCTTACTTCATTGGATTTTGCAGTAGTTCATTAAAAAGTGTGCCTTTCACACTGTTTTCACGGCTGCTGTTATTTCATTATTGTGATAACTTGGTAGGAAATGACTAAAGGAAAAGCCACCCCAGAATTTCTTCTTAAGGTGAAAATTTTGGCTAGACTAATTTGTTTGAAGATAGACTTGCCATTCCAGAGGTATACCTAACAGTGCAATTCTTTTCCAGGGACACTATGCCGTGATGAATAACCCCACCAGACAGCCTTTGGCCCTAAATGTGGCATACAGGTATTGCATGATTTGGGTTTGGGGCCAGCTGTAAGTTCTCTGTGCTTTAAAAATGTATGTATGTATGGGTACTGGGAACTGAAGTCAGGATCTCACGCTTGCTAGGTAGGCACTGTGCCGCTGAGCTGTATCTTCTCCCCTCTTCTGTGCAGTTTTAATACCTTCGTGTGTTTTAGGCGTTGTTTGCAGATTCTGGCTGCAGGTCTGTTCCTGCCAGGTTCAGTGGGTATCACTGACCCCTGTGAGAGTGGCAACTTCAGAGTACACACAGTCATGACCCTGGAGCAGCAGGTATGGGGAAAGCTATGAAATGGTCTGTTTTGCCCCACTTTCAGATGTTCTAGTCAGAAGGCTCTAGTTCTCAAAGATTTTGGTCCTCAAGTTACACTGGCCCTCGTTTTTGTTTTTTCAAGGACATTAGTCAAATAAGGTACTTTCTTTTTGCTAATTGACCTTCACTGTTGCTCTCCTTCAGGACATGGTGTGTTACACAGCTCAGACTCTGGTTCGAATACTCTCACATGGTGGCTTTAGGAAGATCCTTGGCCAGGAGGGTGATGCCAGCTGTGAGTGCCCATTGTGGGTTGGGTTTTCATGGTACTCTGTTCTACTTGCCTTACTACTGCCATGCTGTAAACCATGACTTGTTTTGCTGGCTGTTTGTCTGGAATAAGCTTTGTCTTCTAGATCTTGCTTCTGAAATATCAACCTGGGATGGAGTGATAGTGACACCTTCAGAAAAGGCTTATGAGAAACCACCTGAGAAGAAGGAAGGGGAAGAAGAGGAAGAGAACACAGAAGAACCACCTCAGGGAGAGGAGGAAGAGAGCATGGAGACTCAGGAGTGACCTTCCTTTTATTCCCTTCCCTCCCCAAGGAGAAGACTGGAGCCTAAGCTGGCTGCTACTGGGCTCTGTGGTGGCGTCAGTAGGGTAGGGGACACAGCAGGAAGAACAAACTTCAGAAAGATGTCATTCTACTGGGTCCTTATGCTGGCTTAGCAGCCAGAAGTCTCCCATTTATGACTTATGCCACCCATCTGTAATGAAGCAGGATACCAACATTTCTAATATTCTAGAATCCTCAGTACCTGACAACCCCTCTAACCAGTACTTTGTTGTTGAAATGTTGTGAACTGTTTTAAATGTCTCAAGGTTTTTTTCTAAGAAAAACGATTAAAGTACTTCCTAGTAGGGCTCTTGGTTTTGTTCTTCCTTGGTACTTGGTAATTTTTTTTTTTTTTGTCTTTTTGAGACAGGGTTTTGCTATGTAGTTCAGGCTGGCCTTGGACTCACTCTGTAGCCCAGGTTGCCCTTGAACTCGCAGCAATCCTCTTGCCTCGGCCTCCCGAGTGCTGGGATTACAGGCGTGTACCATACCTGGCTTGGTAACCTTTTTATGCTTCCTGTACTCTAGTTGAAAATGGTACTTTAGCCTTCCCTTATAAACACTAAGATCACAATTTGAAACTATCTGAATTAAAATAAGACTTCTGGAACCTTTTTATATAACCAAAGTAAACTAGAATACTGTTTAAGCATTTATTGAATTAAATGGTTCTAGCTTTACTGCTACTGTAGTCAAGCCAGTGCAGTCAACAAGAGGGTGGACAGAGCCTGTCTTCTGAATTCTCGGTGTAAACAAAGGAACAAGAAGCTACAGGAGACATGCTGCCCAGTGCCCAGGTCTGAGAAACCAAACATGTAACAAAGGATGCTCCACTGGTTAACTAGGCCTAAAAAAGTTGAGCCTGGGATATACAGACTGTGGAAACATGTAGAGGCCTTAGCTTATTCTTGGAAGGAAGCAGAGTTGTAGTATAAGTCCTTTGGGAGTCCAAATGTTGCTATACATAGGTTTCTTAGGGCCCCTACATGAACGAGTGCCTCAAACCCCAGGGATGCCTTGGTGTTCCAAGGTCTATAGGGATTGCTTCCAGAATCTTCTCAAATCTGGAGACAAGGAAGCTGGGGATGCTACTTGTGCTACTCAGGTCACATGCCCATCTTCTGTGCTGTTACTTGCTTGGGGAGCCAGGGGGATAAACTCCAGAATCCAGCATTGCCCGTCTGCGGGCTGTTTCCTTGGCAACGCTATGGTTTAGCCTCCGAAGTCGTTCCTACAAGACAGGAAGATTTGGGACCTGACAGCTGAAAGGCTTCAGGTGGCTTAGTCAAGTCGGTACTGGGAAATATCTTAGCATTAATACATCTTCAGTGTCTTCCAGAGTATAGGTGAGAACGTAAGTGGCAGCAACTGGACACTGAGAGTTGAGTTTATTATGGCTGACACATTAGAGGACAACTCGTGTTGAGGACCTACAAAGCATGGCAAAGAATCACTGTTAGGAAATTGTTTACCTGGGCGTTCTGTAAAATGTTGTTGACCAAGACCACTCGTCGTCTGGCATTAAGCAGCTTCTTAACATAGGGATCCAGATCCAAGGCCACCTTCTGGTCCTCATTGATCCGGCACAGCTCTAGGGACGGAAGAATGGTGCAACAGACAATGGTTCACCTTTGGTTCTTAGGGAAAGTAGGCTAGATTAACGGGGTGGAAAACAATCGCGTCCACAGACAGTTTCCCTTTGCTCCTTTCCACCCCATTCCTAAAACATCCTTGGAAGGAGGAGTCCATTGGCGGCCCTGATGTTCTGGCAGCAAGAGACAAAACCCAGCCCGGAGATGAGCAGGACACAAAGGTCCTGAATGGGAGGTGGAGGCTTTCTGGTACAGCGCTGCGCGCTCACCTGTAGCGAGGTTGTCAATCTGCTCTCGGAGCTCCACCTGGCTCTCCCTGCAAAGAGGTACAAGGCCTAAACGCTCAGTTATGGCATGCAGAGAACCACGTCCACACACAAGTCTCCCGAAGAACCCACACAAGCCACGCTCAACACCGCGGCCGCAGCCGCGGCCCCACTCCCGCCTCTTCTCCCGGGTCTCTTTCCGCCTTTCTCAGCCCCGCCCCACCGAGCCAGGCTGAGGCCCCGCCCAAACGGGGACCCCCGGGCGCACCTGACGGCGTGGACGTGGGAGTCGAGCTGCTGCACCGCCGGCCGCAGGAACTCAAGGAGTCCCTCCGCGAAGAGGTCGCGGCCTGTGGGCCCCGCCACCGGCGTCCCTGCCCCGGACAGGGCGGCGGAACCAACCCCCGCCATCACGAACAGTCCAGACGTCCGGAACCTGCCGCGAGGGCCGCCGGGAACTGGAACCCGCGGAAGTCCGCCGCGAGGAGGCGCCAGAGATATGCTGTGCGACCGACTCTGGAAAAAGGAGTCGCGAGCTGGGGCGGGGCCAAGGCCGGGCGTATAGACCCCTGGGAGTTGTAGTTCTTGGGCGTTGAAAGGTCGGGCTTTGGCTATCTCTAGACTTCCGGAGCCTGCGAGGGACCAACTTTTAGATTGGACCCTTTTTGTAAAAAGTAAGTGCTAAAAAAAAACCCCAGGTGCTAATATCCCCAGTTGTCCATCTCGTGTTAATTCCTTTTTTTGTTTTCCTATGTTAATTTAGAAGTAAAGCATCTTATACTCATGCTATAATTCTGTATTTCTGGGTTTGTTTTTTTGAGACAGGCTCTCGCCATGTAGTTCAGGCTGGCCTTGAGCTCACCATACAACTCAGGCTGACCTCAAACTCACAGTGATCCTCCTGCCTCAGCCTCCCAAGTGCTAGGATTACAGGCGTGCATTAGCACAGCTGGCTTTATAGTTCTGTATTTCTTTTTTTAGTTCTGTTTCTAAAGAGTAAATTGTTGTAGTTTAGTTTTCTTTTCTTTTCTCTTTTTTTTTTTTTGAAACAGGGTCTCGCTCTGCAGTTCAGGCTGGCCTTGAGCTCCCTTTGTAGCCCAGGCTGGTCTCGAACTCACAATGATCCTCCTGCCTCAGCCTCCCGAGTGCTGGGATTACAGGCATGCGCCACCCCGCCCAGCAGCATAGTTTAGTTTTCTTTTTCCATCTCAGGATATTTGAGCCTGTTTTTAATCAAGTCAGGGCCACTTAAGTATAACGCATACAAATATGACACACCATAAAACTCATTTTCTTTCTTTCTTTACTTATTTAATTGTCTTTTTGAGACCGGGTCTCGCTGTGCAGTTCAGGCCAGTCTTGTACTCACTTTGTAGCCCAGGCTGGTCTCGAACTCTCAATGATCCTCCCGCCTCAGCCTCTCGAGTGCTGGGATTACAGGCGTGCGCCATCACGACCGGCTTCATTGTATTTTTTGTTTGTTTATTTGTTTGATTTTTTTTTTTTTTTTGAGACAGAGTCTCACTGCGTAGTCCAAGATGGTCTTGAACTCATTATGTAGCCCTGGCTGGCCTCAAACTCATGGAGATTCTCCTGTCTCAGCCTCTCAAGTGCTGAGATTACAGGCCTGCATTACCATGCCCAGCAATAACTCATTTAAAATAAAGACGGCAGTTATGATTTCCCTTCTCCAAATATATGTTGTCTCAGGTAGTCCATGTGAGCATTCTTGGTTGACAGTACCACACAGTTCCATTCAAAGTGAGGAATCTAGATTACATGATAGCTCAAAATTTCTAGATGTCGTTTTTTTCATAGCAGGTTTTCCTTTTAAGTGAAGGGTATTTCTACAAAAAGCTTTTTGAGTCCAGAAATTCAAATGCAATTCAATTTAGCTCTGGGTGGAAGGGATATTTGAGTCCCAGTACATTCTTGCTGGTTTTCCCAAAGTTGTATTATGGCTTCTGTAAGAGAGAGGTTTTTATTTTATTTTATTTTTTTTTCTTTTAAGTAAGATACATTCAAAAGCTACTGTAGGGTAATCAGACAAAAAAATAGGCTTTTTAAAGAATTGGGTCCTTCTAGTACCTCTGCTAGAGTTTTCTAAATCTGCTGTTGTGCTCCATTCACGCTGCCCATATCTTTTTTTTTTTTTGTCTTTTTGAGACAGGGTCTCACTATGCAGTTCAGGCTGGCCTTGAGTTCACTTTGTAGCCCAGGCTGGTCTCCAACTCGCAATGATCCTCCTGCCTCAGCCTCCCGAGTGCTGGGATTACAGGCATGCACCACCACGCCTGGCTGCCAGTGTCTTTAGTGTATTGTTGTTGACAGAAGCAGTCATGAAACCATGGAATTTGAAATTCAGGGCATTCCAAGCAGACAGCTCTATTCAGCTTCGTGAGATGAAACTGGACCCTGCTACTCAGAGACAAAGTTAAAATTTCAAGTTGAGAATCTAACCTGATTTTCAATCTAAGAACTGGATGCTAAAAATTGTCTTTATCAGATCTTCTGGGAAATATTCAAGTATGACCAAAGAGAACCAAGAAACAGTAACAAAAGAGGATCCAGGGTCGGGGAATATAGCTCAGCGGCACAGCACCTGCCTGGCAAGTGTGAGGTCTTGAGTTTGATTCCTGGTACAAAAAAAAAAAAAAAAAAAATCCAATGTATCGAAGTGAGAATGAAGGCATGGCATGCACATTCCAAAAAACTCATCCCTTTGAGGTGGGTCATAGTTAAGATGATGAATGGGACAATAATAGCAAGGACTGAAAAAGGATGGATCCTTTCAATCTGCTGAACAACCATTGCTGCTATCCTATCAAGTAGCAAAGTATTGAGGTAGTTCTAGAAATAAAAGCAATCCTTGCAGCATTTGTATAATTAATTTCATCTATCAAATGCTGCAGAGCAGCAGTTGTTTCTTCCAGAACCAATTCATGAAACCAGTCTCCTTTTACAAATTTAAGTTCCTCCCATAAAGGATGCAAATTGCTGCTCTGTTGTAATCTCTGACAACCGTAGTAATCTAGTTTTGGAAGTAGTTTCACTTGTATCCCAGTAATTCTACCCAAATACATGTGATCATACTGAATCCACCTTAAGACAGATGTGAAATCATTCAGGCCACCGAGGTCACACGGGTAAAAGTGCTTCACTTTGGGACATCACAGCTCTGTCCAGGTGAGCAGAAAGGAGCATGGAAAGGGCACAGACCAGGTCGGCAATCTCATTCAGACACTAACTTTCAAGTAACTAAATGGACCAGGTGTGGTGCTGCACACCTGTGTGTGATGCCAGCACTTGGGAGGCTGAGGCAGGAGGACTGCTGAGAGTTGGAGACCAGCCTGCGCTACATAGTGAGTTTAAGGCCAGCCTGAACTACATAGCAAGACCCTATCTCAAAAAATAACAAAAACAAGAACTCAAGTAACTAAATAGTAATTTTCTGAGTTTCATGAAAACCTTTTTACTTTGAAAATGTAGAAAAATTAATGCTTGAGTTATCCTCTATAGCTCTATTGCTTTATAGTTTTCCAAGTTTTTATGCAGAACTAAAGCAATTTTTAAATCTCTGCTTTCCTTTTCTTCCATTGCTCCCACCACCGCCAGGGCTTGCTGGCTGGTCAGGTCCTCCAAGATCAGTAATATAGTTGACTTAAGTTGTTTCTTTTTGTGAGGTCCTGCCACTGCTCCCAATGCAGTAAACAATTTTACAAAGCTCTCAGGGTGATCAAACAAAGGAATCGTCTCAGTGAGCCTCTTTTTAGCCATGGAAATAAATTCAAAACTATAGAACTGTAGAAACTGCTGTGTAGAGGTATGTTACTCACGGAATCCAAGTCAAGGTGCTTCACATTGCTTAAAAACACTTGTTCACTGCTCTCAGAGTGGGCAATGACTACATTTAACATTTCCAAGAAACTGTACTATTCTTCTTGCAGTGTTTTTTGTTTGTTTGTGTGTGTGTGTGTGTGTGTGTGTGTGTCTTTTTGAGACAGGGTCTTGATATGCAGTTCAGTCTGGCCTTGAGCTCACTTTGTAACCACGCTGGTCTCGAACTTGCAATAATCCTCCTGCCTCAGCCTCTCGAGTGCTGGGATTACAGGTGTGCGCCACCACACGCAGCCTTTCCTTGCAGTGTTGACCTGAGAAGAATCTATGGTGTCAAAAAAGTTCTGTTTTCTTCACTAATTTTTCTTGAAAATGTTGTGATATTAAAGAAGATATGTTGGGGGCTGGGGATATAGCTCAGTGGCACAGCGCCTGCCTGGCAAGTGTGAGGTCATGAGCTCAATTCCCGGTACAAACAAACAAACAAAACCCAAAAAGCAAATACTATAAAGAAGATATTGATAAGTCACAAGGCAACCCCTCCCCCTGCAGGGGATTTAAGCTCTTTTATTAAGGAGTTAATAAAAACTCCTTCCTCTTCACCTGTTCCCCTCCAGTTCCCCTTGACAAAAGCCAACCTCGCCCTCATCCATCTTGGCAGAACCAGACGAAAGCATGGCTTTGTTTCTTTCCAGGAGATCAAATATTTCCTCTTCATCCATAGACTTATTCACTGAAATAATTAGTGGTTCACCACCAGAGGGTAGAAACTGAAACACTTTCCAGAGGAATGGACAAGTAGCTCTTAGATGGAACATATTTATAGCCAATGAGTCTGGTATCCGTAGGTAAAGAAAGCCATTGGTAACTAGTAGTCAGGTGCAATGTGTTGGCATAAAAATAATTTCATGGTTTTGTTTCCTTTGTGATGACTCTAAATCCGTTCCAATAGGCCATTTTGGCAAGTTCTTCCGTCAGTGTCCGCCAGCTTCTCCACAGGTCCCAGAGTAGGTGGGTTTTGATGGCTCCAAAGTCAGGGTTACCCCTGGCACCCAGCAAGGGACAAAATAGGCATGGTTTTGTCACTCACTCCTCACATCCCAGGGTTCTCAGCCTGTCTTTAAGAGACATCCCCTTCTCTTGAGGGGAGTCTGTCTCCAAGCTGCAGAAGCATGCAGGTCAATGGCAGTGTGCAGGGCAAAGGTATGCACTACACCTTTTAGTTTTTTGAAACAGGATCTTGCTATGCAGTTCATGTTGGCCTTGAACTCACTATGTAGTCCAGGCTGGCCTCAAACTCATGGCAGTCCTTCTGCCTCAGCCTCCCAGGTGCTGGGATTACAGGCCTGCAGCACCAGGCCCAGCCCTTTTGTTAGTGGTTTTTCTGACCAAGATTTTAAGTGATGATAGGTGATGTGTGTAGGACTATAGAGAGAGAGAATTCCAAGATCCTAAGAAACTTTCAAAGTCATATAACACTTAAAGGACTGGCTACTTCTTGTCAAAAATTGGCTTGATAAGCTCAATCTTATTGCTAGCTGTCTTTAGCAAAAGTCTTTCCTTTCCACCGTGATATACACTTCTTAAACAAATAAAAGGTAAAACCTCTTTTAAAAAAAACCTACATG